GTGTCTGGAGGATGACAGGTGCTGACTGACAGCTGCTCACATGAACAGAATGTCTGTAACTGACACAGATTTTCCCTCATTTTGCTTTAGAGTAATCTAACAATTTTTATAAAAAAAAACTCAGCTTCAAATTAATTTTCTCTCAGAGCCTGCAGGACGATAAAAATAATAAAAATTAAATTAAATAAGTCAGATAAAATTAGAAATAAGTCCACCGCTCTTCTCGTCCTCTCCCCCTCCTGCCTGCTCTTTTATCCGTGGCAGATACCCACCGCCCCCCGCGCGCACACACACACACGCACGCATCCCCCAGCGTGCACGACAAATACGGACTTTAAACGTGAAGTTTTATAACATTCACACTAGCGAGGTGGATGCGCCCTGCGCGTGTATCCAAAGCGTGACTTTTGCTGTTCTGCTGTTCTTGTCGGTGAGGGGTCTGTGGGTCAGGGAGGGGTCTGTGGGTCAGGGAGGGGTCTGTGAGTCAGGGAGGGGTCTGTGAGTCAGGGAGGGGTCTGTGGGTCAGGGAGGGGTCTGTGGGTCAGGGTCGTGAGGAGGAAGCAGATGAATGGAGTTGTGCACAGGAACTTTTATTCAAGATTTAAGTTTTTTTTTTCAAAGGTCCTCATGGTTCAGCAGCAGAAGCACAAATATTACTGTTAAGAAAGCTGATGATAAAGTTGAATAAAAATCTAAGTCTGATGAAGTGAAATTAAATATCTGACAGTGATCATAGGCACCAATTCTGTGGGTGCTCTGGGGTCAGAGCACCCACGGAGATGCCCGAGCGCCTACACTGACCACTCCCCCACTACCTGGCAACGTGTTGCGTTTTGATGTCAAATTCAAACAAACCGCCAAATACACTGAGAGCCGATTTGAGTCCAATTGACCCAGTTACTGCATTTACGTGCCCAGGATGTTCCAGAGTTACAGTCATGGGTCGCACATAAGGAGAGCAAGTGGCTCTCACACGACATTTTAAATGAGATGACAGAAATTATGGCTCATGATGTACTGAGAACATTAATAGAAGAAATCAAGTCTGCAGAGTTTTTTTCTGTGATAATGGAGGAAACCGCCGACATTTCGGTCAGAGAGCAGATGTCAGTTTGTTTTCGTGTCGTGTCTGAACATCTGGATCCAGAGGAACATTGTGTTGGATTTTATGAGACATCAACAACTACAGCAAATGCGTTGTTTCAGCTGCTAAAGGATGTTTTGGTGAGATTCTCACTACCACTTCAGAAGTGCAGAGGATAATGCTATGTCGGCGTATCAAATATGTCTGGCATTGAAGCTGGTTTGCAAGCGCGCTTGCTGGAACASGAACCGCRYGCACAGTATGTGCACTGCACCGCACATCTGGTGAATTTGGTTGTGCACGATGTGGCACAAAACATTCATGCATGTCGCAACTTTATGACTCTCATTCGTGAGTTAATAACCCTGATCAGAAACTCACCAAAACGGCTCGCCTGGTTCCAAGAGTTTCAAGCTAAAGACGCACCATCTTTAAAGCCTCTGTGTCCGACGCGCTGAACTGTGAATGCGGGCTCTTTGCAATCCATTTCCTCCAACTACAGTGCATTAATAGAGTTTCTAGAGGACCTGAGTTCAAACGAAAAAGGTGATGAAGGGGGTAAAGCCAGTGGTCTGCTTGTGCACCTGCAGCAATTCTGGACTTTTTTTTTCTTTGAAGCTCATCCTTAATTTTTTCTCTTGCATGGAAACAGTCTGTGTTGCTCTCCAAAAGCATCTGCTACACATACAGAGAGCAAGGGAAATGATCGACACACTCCAAGGTGACATGAAAGCCCTTCGGGAAAGTTTTGCTGTTTTTTGGGAAAACACCACTGCTGCAGCTGATGACTTGGGTTTGGAGAGCCCGGTTTTGCCCAGACCAAGAAAAATTCCCCGCCGACTGGAAGACACAGGTGCGCCAACCTCATGTGTGTGGGAGGGGGGCGTTGATTGACCTGATGGATAGCCCCTCATCAGAGCTAAACAACCAAAGAAAATCTGAAGCTCCTATGCTTAATAGTTTTTGAGCAATAACCATTTTTGTATGTCCAGAGACCACTTTTTCAGACAAATTGGTCAACTGGTGGGGGAGCTAAACAACAAAAGAAAATCTGAAGCTCCTATGCTAAATAGTTTTTGAGCAATAACCATTTTTGTATGT